CACCCACCCCCCCGAGTCTGCCTTCACCGCATCCAGCAGCTGCTCAGACTCACCCCCATCCCTTCCTCTGCAGTCCTTGGCCCACATCCTGAAGGTCCGGGGGATGCTGATGGAGCCAGAGGTGCGATTCTACCTGAAGCAGATCATTAATGGCCTGCAGTACCTCCACCAGCAAGGGATCATTCACCGTGACCTCAAACTGAGTAGGTGGCAGAGACCCAGGGAGGGGCAGGAGTTGCGGGGGGGCCTCCACGCTGGGAATCAGTCCGCAATCTTGCCCCAAGCTCCGGTGGCCTTCTTCCTGGAGACACTGCTATCGGTGCAGCCTGAAGCCGAGATTTGTTTGTCTATGGGCCGTAGTTATCGGCCGCCTGCTCAACATAGAAACTCAAACAATAATAAAAATAAGAGAAAAGAGAAAAAATGCCGAACGAGGGCCCAGCCAGAATAACAGGAAAACCAACCCACCGTGGGCCCTCGCCATAAGTTAGCCTAACGCCTGGGGGAAGAGCTAGGTCCTGAAGGCTCAACGAAGAAGCCATTCGGGTCACGGGGGGGCGGGGAGGCCGTTCTAGAGAGCAGTGGCCGTGGCGGAGCACACTGCCCGGGTCCCATCAGATGACCCTGCTTGACAGATGTGACCAAGGCACGCTGGCCCTGTCAGATCTTGCAGGATGGGCAGACAGTCGCTCAGACAGCAAAGTCCTGTGCTATGGAAGGTTCTATAGATGACAGCCAGCACCTGGACTCGCACTCGGGACCCTACTGGTAACCCCTGCCGCTTGTGTAGCAGAGGTGTTACGAGGGCATACCGTGGCGCACCGTAGCTGCTAATGCCACAACATTCAGAACCAGCAGAAGCTTCTGCATAGTCTTCAAGGGCGGCCCCGCATGGAATGTATTGCAGTAATCCAGACAAGAGGGACTAAGGCCTCACGAGTGACTGTGAGCAGCCTCCTCCCTGCAGTCCTGGAAGGGGCATAACCAGAACACAAGATGGATTTGTGCAAAGACCTTCTGTGCCACAGCTGCCACCTGCTCCTAAAGCAGGAACTGTGAGTCCAGAAGACCCCCAGCCTGTGCACCAGTTCCAGCTGGCAGAGTGCTACGCCGCTCAGAACCAGTGGAGGAAAACCCCCAAAAATGGAAGGCCCATGACCCAGAACCATTTGGTCTTAGCAGAGTCAGGCCTGAGCGCGTTCCTGCCCACCCGGACCCTCCGTCTCCAGGCACTGGGAGAAGATCTCGACAGCATCGCTTGTTGAGCAGAGGGCAAGCTGCACAGCTAATATCCACATACCAGTGCCTGGCCCCAGATGGCCGGATGGCCGCATCCTCATGCAGATGCTAAGCGGGTGGACGGCCCCGGCCCTCGCCCTCACCCCAACAGGTGCAGCCAGCGCCATCTCTACATTATGCCCGGGCCAAAACCCAACTGGCCAGGTCCAGATAACCCTCTGCATCTGAAGCCGCAACCCAGAAATGGGGTCTGGTGATGTTTTCTGAAAAGGGAGTGCACCAGGCTCCTGGGTGGGAGGCTAGGCTGCCTTCCTCGGGTGTCCTCCAGGGTCCCTGGACTGGCCCTCCAGCAGCACCGCCAGCTTCTTCGCTGCCTCGTGAATGTGGCGAATCTCTCAGCTAAGGGCCTCGAGAGGCTCTTCTGGCGGTCCTGTCGTTCTGTGCTGCGCTGTCCTTCTGCGGAGAAGGGCTTTCTTTAGCCGGTGGGGGTGGTGTGTGAAGGAGAGGTTCCCTCCCCGGTTTGGGTGGGTGCGGAACCTGGTTGATTTCTGCAGGCTTGCTTGGGTCTGGCTGCCCATTTGCTTTCCATCACCCAAGGGGGCCCTCTCCCTTGGCTCCCCAGGGCCTGGGCTCCATCAAGGCGTCGTGCCCCTGCTGCAGCCACGGTCTTCCTGTCCTCCCGTGGCAGAAGGGCGCCTGCTGGTGGCCTGGAGGACATGGCGGAAGGGCGCGCGAAGATCAGATTGCGAGGCGCACAACTCTGCCTGCAGCCTGGCGATGCGTGCCTTCACAGGGCGATGGGGGAAGCGGGGCTCTCTTCAGGAGATCCGCCTCTGCGGGCAAGGGGCACAGGGAGCCCATCCAGGATGACTCAGGGCCAGGGAAGGTCTAGAGCTGACAGGACAATCTTTGCAGGCTTAGCTAGGACCAGACCCTCAGACAGCTCGGCACCCCACACTCTTCGCTTTCCAGGCAATGTTTTCATCACCAAGAGCATGCAGGTGAAAATTGGAGACCTGGGGCTGGCAACGCGAGAACAGCAGGCCTGCCAGAGGAGAGGGTGAGTGTTGGGGTTGCAGGGAGGCGGCATGGGAACCATGGGACAAGGCATAGCATCACAATGTTGTGGCTGAAGCAGTCCAGGAACCAGTGGGGTGGGAGCCTTGGACCACACTCTGTAGGGCAGCCTCCTTCAGCCTGGTAACAGTGCCCAGTTTTATCAGGGGATCTGGGCTTCCCACAGGCTCCAGAACAGGGGGTGCTCTACGGAGCCTACCTGGAAGAGCCCTGAACAGCCCCTCCAGTCAGGAGCTTTGTAGCCAGCCTGATGTTCTCTTGGTGCCTGAGAGGAGGTAAAGAGGTTTCCGTTGGATGGATGCCCAGTTCGCATGTTCCAAACAAGTCAAGTGCTTCCCTGCCCCGGGTTTTGCAGCCCACTGAGATTTAGCCTTCATCCTCTCCTCCTCAAGCATTTGATGCAGTTGGCACTTTCTTATGGAACTTGAAGCCCCCCCCCCAACAGCTACACACACTTTTCTGAGTGCTGAATTCAACTTTCTTCTCCACAGGGTGGTCTGTGGGACCCCCAATTATCTGGCCCCTGAAGTCATTGCTAAGAAGGGGCACTCCTTCAAATCAGACATATGGGCACTAGGCTGCATAATGTAAGTAATTCCCACAGCAAAGGGAAGGTTTCATTTCGCTCTCCCCCTGGTGGAGCTCTGGGAGGAGGTTGGACTTGGGCGATGCTCTGTGGTCTGCTGACAAGGGGAGGCAAGGGCGGGCTGGCTGTGGTTGGGTCATGGGACGCCCACCTCTCCCTCTTCTCCCCCAGGTACACCGCCCTTGCCGGTTTCTCCCCCTTTGAGATCACGCACAAGCAGGAGCTGTATGAGAGGATCCAAGAGGGCCTCTATCGCGTTCCCAGCCATCTCTCCCCAGCTGCCCGTGGTCTGATTGGGAAGCTGCTGGCCCCTGACCCCTCTGCCCGCCCCAGCCTGGAAGAGGTGCTGCAGCATCCCTTTTTCACCCAGGTGCGTTCTGGTGTGAGCAGGGGCTGTGCAACTGCCCTTTGGTTTGAGGTCCACAGAAAGGGGGGCAAGTGAGCAGGAGGGTGGCCGTGGGCTCCCAGCTGCAGCCACCTCCCCTTGGGGCAGAAAGGAATCCTGTTCCGTCTTCACCAGAGACCCCCTTTGTTCCTTCTCTGAGGGCACCTGAGTTGGCAAAGGCTTGAGCCACTCAAGTAGGAGGGCCTGGGGAGCTCCACAGAAATGGGTGGTGCACAATAATAATGTTAAATAAGGTAAAATCATTGTCAAACCCCATACTAAAGCAACTTTAAATCAGCCAAGGCCAGCAGAATTAGAACAGAACTAACATAAAATTCCACCTAGATTTCAAACTCCAAAAGCTTGTCAGAAGAGCCAGGCCTTAACTGCTCTCCTGGACCCTGGGGGGAAGCTTGATCCAGAGACTGGGCCTGCCCCTGAGAGTGTCTGTTTCTGGCCTCCTGCCCCCCAACCTCACCAGGCAGCCACCCCTGCAGCAGACGGGCATGCTGTGTTCTGTCAAGAGCAGCCGGAGCGCCCTGAAGGCAGCCAGAGGGCTTTCTCGGTTAATTCCTGTAGCTTGGTTTGAGGGAGTCCCCAGTGCAGTGCCCATAATACCCACCAGCAGGTAGGCTGCTGCATTCCAACCTTACCCTAACTCTAACTGCAGTTCCCGGTTAGGGGCTCCCTGGGTAGAGCGTGTTGTCTGGAGGGGTGATGATGTCACCCTTCTGGAGGTGACATCAGCGTGCAGAACACTCACAGGGGCCTCCTGCTCCGAAAGGGCAGCCCAGCCCAGCCCAGCCCAGCCCAGCCCACGCGGGACAAAGGCCTTCTGGGCCGCAGCCTCTCCCTCCAGAAGCCACGCATCCAGCCCCTGTGTGGAGAGTGGGGCCGCTGTAGAGGTCGCAAAGGGGCTGCCAGCAGTTTCTGTGCCAACAGCCCCGCTGTTTGGTGGGGCTCCGTTTTAACTTGCTTCACCCCATCCAGTTGGCCCAGCCTCCAGAGATGGGGCCAGGGCCTCCCCTGCACCCCTGCTCAGCTCTGGCCAGGGATGGTGATGGGGGGTCCTCAGCACACTGAAGGTGCTCCCTCCAAACCGGTGGATGACCTCCGCAGCAGTTTCACGGAGAGGTTAAATAGTGTGGGGGAAACGCCCACTCGGAGCAGCCAGGAGTCCGTCAGCTTGGGAAGCAGCAGAGCTGCCACAAAACCGTGTCCGTAACCCCCGCAGGTGGTCCAGAAGGTCGTGCGCATAGAGATAGGCCAGGAGGGTGGCCCTCTCCTCCCCCTGTCCCAAGGGAGGTCATCCACGAGCCCCACACCCAGGTCTGAAACCAGACCAAAAGGTCCAATACCAAGAGACGTCTCCTTTGCGGTGGGGGTTCAACGTTCTGCCTCATCGAGGCCTGAGTCTCAGAGCCACCCGCACCTCGCCTTTGGCTCTCAAGGGAGCCAGCCTGCAGCAGCCCGACTCCTGCGGTCCACGTCCTCACAGTCCACCACAAGGCAGAAGGAATCCAGATCGCCGAGCAAGTCATTGCCACAGTAACCCCCGCGAGCCCACCAAGGCAGGGTCCAAATCTGAGTCCGTAATATGCAAGAAAGGTGTCAGGAACCCCTCTTCTGGGGCTCCGGGAAGGCTGACCCATCCATTGGGGCATCTGGGGGGCCGCCGGCTCTTGGATCAGCCACATCCCTTTCCTTACTGGTCTGTCTGATTTCATTCGGTCCTTAGTACCACCGTACTTGCTCTTCAGCGTATTCTCAGGGTGATCTGTAAAACTGACCACAACCCTGGATGCCTTTCCCGTGAGAACTTTCTTTGCCCCCTCCTTTCCCTGCTCTCCTGCCGAAGCTTGCCGGCTCTGGGCGCCAAAGCTCCAGGGGGCTGCAAAGGGTTGGCATTTCCTGGGCCATGCCATTCTTGTCCTGATTTTTGCAGCCCCGATGGGCATGGCCGTCCTTCCCCGCCCTTCCCTCAGCCTCCAGATTCTGCCTCCTGTTCGCGGCCCCAATCTCGCCTGCCTGTCTGCTGCCCGCCCCCTCGAAAGGACTCAGGGGTCTCGCCCCCCTCCCCAGCTGTTGCTCGGGGCAGGCACTGTGGTCTTGCGTTTGAGCAGGTGGGGTCCCCTTAAGGTTCCAGGACAGGATAATTCTGCTTCTTTTCCCCTGTTTTGCATCTCTCCCCAGCACTTCACTCCTGACAGGCTATCCTCGCGCGCTTGTCGTTCTGCCCCCGTTTTTCCTTTTGTGAACCCGCTTCAAAAATTCTTCCAGAAAACAGCCATGTTCCTTTTCCGGGGCTCCCCTTGCCAGGACCCCCGCACTGGTGAGTGCTGGGGGGAGGAGTAGGTGGGTGGATTTGGCAGAGAGAGAGGACAGTGGGAAGGGGAGACCTTCTATCTCCTGCCTTTCTCCCAGAGAGGAACATGAATTTGGCCTTGCAGCTAATAAATTAAGTTTCTAGTCCTCAGCATACCCAGAAGCTGTAAGGCTGTAGAAGGTAGGATTACAATCTAATCATGTCTCTCTTCTGCTGCCCGCCCCCAGTGAGTCCTGCGCCCCAAGAACAGGAGGAAACACCCCGGCCACGAGGTGTGGGACCTGTTGCGCCTCCCTGCTTGGTAAGAAGCCCTACTCTTGGATTACAGTCTTCTCAAGCATCATTTCGCAGCTAAAGGGCTGCTGGTGTTTCTGTGAAGCTGACTGAAGGGCAAATGTTTTGATATTATTATCCTGACTGCTCAGGAGACTATCGCAGTCTTGGCGTTGTCTGATGATCTGGGTGCCAGCCGAGAGTCTAGGAATCGCAGGGGTGTGGGTGACGGTGGGGGCAACCAAATCCCTTTCCCAGTTTCATCCAGTGCTTCCCACCTCGCTGAGATCCTGGTTCGCTTCCATTGGACCCTATTTGCTTGTTTGAGTGTGCACTTATTGATTTGATGTGCTGACTAGAATTTCCATGCCCCTCCATTCTGGTGGGCTCTCCTCTCTGCGATCTCTGTGGGGAACAGTCAGTGGCCTTTTTTCCTCAGTCTTCTCATCTGCAAATGGGAATAGGAGCATGCTTCCCTTTTCACTGTGGCTTTTGCAATGCTGTTCGATCACTTGGGCCCCCTTTGCCCAAATTGCCTCTCGAGAGCTTCTTCTCTGGGGTCTTGCAAGCCCCTGCTTGGCTCACGAGAGCAAGAATCTGGCTCCCCCAGTGACTCTGGCCTTTGTGCTACGGGTCCATTGGGAGGACGGCTTCCGAAGGTTGGGGGCGGCCACGTTCACAGCCGTAGGGCAGTCGGCTGGGGGGCTTCTAGCTTCATCCCTGCTCTGTGGGATTCACGGGTTGGTTTCGCATTGCCCCCCCATGGCCACGAAGGAAGCTGAAGAGGGGAGCACAGACCCTGTGGAGGAGCCCAGCTGCTTTTCCCCCCACCTGCTCAGGAGAGGCTCCCTGCGTGGTGGGCCGCCTGCAAGTGAGTGGAGGCACAGGGTGGGGAGCGGGCGTGCAAGTGTGGGCAAAGGGAGCTGGGGAGGGAGAGAGGGGTCTGTCCAGCACCCCCCCCCAGTTCTGCTTGCTTTCCGTCCTCCCCAGCCCTTCCTTCCTCTGGCAGATGCCGACTGGGGCCCTGGAGGAGTGCTGGAGAGGGTGGATCGAAGGCTGCGCAACTGCTTGAAGACCATCCCCCTGGGTGAGGCTGTGGGGGCGTGTCTACTGCTTAGTCCGCCCCCTCCATCTCCTTGGGGTCTGCCTTGTCTTCCCCCTGGGGGCTTCGGCCCCTCTTCTGCCTCACAGCCCCGTTGCTGCTGCCGGTCTCTTTCCCAGCCCGAGGGGACTGACCCGGAGGCAGGGGTCCTCCCTCTGAGCACATCTACCCCTCCCACTATATTGGACAGGTGGGCTTGTGCCAGCTCCCCTCCCTTAAATGTTGTCATCTGGCAGTCATAGGAGGTGCTTCTTCTCTGCAGCTGCGCCTACCTTGCGGATCAGCCCCCCCTTCCCCCCCCGAGGCCCCTAGCCTTCCAGAAGACTCTTAAGACCTGGCTGCTCTGCGGGCGCTGGGTGGGATGACAGCGCTTAAGTTCTTGTACTGTTATTGGTTTATCTGTCGTGAGCTGCCACGGTAGAAATCCTCTAAATAAATAAAATAAGTAAATCCTGCCCATCGAGGCAGGGGTGGCTGGGCCCTATGCCAGGTGAGGAGCTCTCTGTGCTCTTCTGGGCATGGAACCTCCACGGTTATTTTCTTACTCCAGAGCAGAAGTGCCCCAAGCCTTGGAGGACTGGAAACGTGACAGCGGCCGGGGGGAGCAGGGGCTGCTGCGCCTCCCTGCTGTTTGGGCTGAGCAGGGCATCTCTCCCCGCAGTGGAAGAGCTACCTGAAGGCCTGCGTGGTACCCGTCCTGCCCAGATGGCCACCAAGTGGGTAGATTACTCCAATAAGTACGGGTTCGGCTACCTGCTCTCCGACGGATCGACCGCAGTGCTGCTCCCCGATGGGACCCACATGGCTTTTTGCCCCCAGCGCCAGTGAGTGCCCCCCTTGTGAGTCAGGCTGCCTCTGGATTGGTGTGAGGGTGAAGAGGCCCGAGGCCAAGTGGAGCAGGATGGACCCCCGTGGTGGTCTTGGGAAGAAAGGGACCCCAGCTGCTTAAGGGAACGCTCCTGGCCTGCTCCCTCCGCTCGGTGGCTGCTCCGGGAGGGGTGATTTGGGGTCCCCGCCCGGCAGTTTGCCAGATCCCCCTTTGGTCCGCCCTTCAGACGCATCTGCTACCGCAGTGAGGTCCAGAAGGCCGTGTCCTTTGGGTGGACAGAAGTCCCGCCCTCCTTGGCCACGAAGAGGACCATCCTTCACTTCTTCACCCAGTACATGCAGCAGCGGCTGCTGGAGGTGAGAAGCCGGGGCGGAGGCAGGAGTACGGAAGGCGGGTCAGCAGAGGGAGCCCCACTGAACTCTGTGGCTGCTTCTGTGGGCCCCCTACTGACCCTGCCTCTTTTGCCAGGGGGGCCCCCGGCAGACCAACCCCGGCAAACCAGCGGGGGATCCTTCTCTCCTGCATTTTGCAAAATCCGACAAAGCCCTCTTGATGCTTTTTGGTGACAGCACCCTGCAGGTAGGAACCTGGTCCTGGTCCCATCTGGAGTGGGCCGGCACCTGGCACCTTCATGCCCACCCAGGCGGGGAAGGTGGGAGGAGATCCTGGGGGGGTTCAGGGGTCAAACCGTCCTGAGCGAAGAAGGTCAGGATCTGCTGGAGGCCCAAGGCCTTCCGTCTGCACCGGAGCAGCCACCCTCCACCTGTGGGCTGGGGCGGGGAGCTGAACGCCTGGGGATCAGCCGGCAGAAGAGTGCCCCGGCACAGGCAGTAGGCACAACCAAAATGCCAACGCATGTGTTTGTTTGCCTGGGCTGAGGCTGCTCCAGCCGCGCTGAGCCGTATCGAGACACATCCAGCATCCATAAAACAGGCTAAAAATAGAAACGTAGCACTGATTAAGATGAAAATGTCAACATTTTGAGGTAGCCAGAGTAGGCTGCTCCTGAAGCCACAAATAATGGAACTGCAGTGAGGATCGTGGCTGTTTTTTCAAACAAACACTCAGCTTTTCAGGGCCCTATACGGTCCCCAGTGGCTTCCTTATCAGCTCCCCCCCGTTTTCATCCGAAGCTTGGCTGAATTCAAACGAAGGAAGAGCTGGAAACGTTTCAGCTTCTCCTCGCGGCCTGGTGTCAATCCCAGCCTTACAGCTGGGGGGTTGGCGGGCAAGGCCTTCCTGGGATTCAGTCTTCTTGATTACATTGAGCTGGGACTGCAGGATAATGATGCCAAATGTGACGGGTGTCGCCGCCCCCCCCCATTTCAAAAGCTAGAGCAAGCTAGCCCTTAAAACAGGTTACCCTTTGCTGCTTCATAATTTGCAAAGCCAAGAGGGTGACTAGGCTAAACTACGACCCCCAAGCGGGAGTCTCGCTCCCGAGAGCAGCGCCTTCCCTACTGGATGGACGACGGACGGTACCAGGCTTCCCTCGCCCAGTGATACCAGCAGTCCTTCTCATCCTCCCTTGTGTCTTCCCTACCACCCTGCGCTTCCAGGTGAATTTCTACCACGACCGCACAAAGATTGTGCTCAGCCACTCGGCCACGGGAGAGGACCTCCTGACTTTCGTGGACCGCCAGCGTTGCAGCACCACCTTCCCTCTGGGCACCCTGGCACAGCAGGGGTGGACCCTGCCCCTGCGCGAGCGGATGCTGTATGCCCTGCGCTTGCTGCACTGCCTCTAGCAGACCCCCCTCCCCTCTCCTCCCCCCTGCCAGGGCAGAAGAAGCTGAAGGGACTGTTTTGCTGCCTGTCTCTTCTGGCTACAGCCTCTGCTGGACGTGCCTGTCACCCTGGAGGCCACAGTGGCCATGCCCAGAACCACGTCGGCAGAGGAAGACCAGCAGCAGCAGGAGGGTGCTGCAGGAGAGGGGGTTCCTTTCCTTGTTTATGCCTCATCTTTCTTCCAGGAACATAAGGCAGCACACGTAGGGCTCCCACAGCAACTATCCTGTGAGGTAGGCTGGGCTGAGAGAGAAGCCCTGCCCCCAATTTGCCAGGCAGCTTCTGTGGGCGAAGTGGGGGGCAGAGGCCGGGCCTCCCTGCTCCTAGCCTAGCCCCTTCACCACTACCCTGCAAGGCTCTCCGTGCGGGGGTGATGCTTTGACGGAGGGGCAGGCTGGGGGGCAGTCCTGTGGTCTCTTCTATTGTCATGGGGAGGCTCTGCAGGCACAGGGGGGTGGCGAAACCCTTGGCCCTTCTTGTCAGGACAGATGGGGCTCCTTGGCTGATGGAGGGCAGAGTCCAAATGGGTAGGCAGAAGGCCAGGAGGGGTGCTTGGCCTGAGATGCAAAGAGGGGCACTTTCAGGGCATCAGAAGGAGGGGGTTCAGATAGTTGCAGGTTTGCAGGACTATTAGGGGGTACAGAAGGGCAGTAGGGCAGGGGGATGTGTCAGAGAGTGAAGTGGGTATGTTGTGTCCAGCAGACGCAAGTGGAAGGGGCACGGGAGCCCTGCAGAGTGGGCAAGACAGGGTAGGTCCCAGGGAGGGAGGGAGGGAGGGAAGTGTTTGGGGTGCAGCCACAGGGCAGGGCAGAGCAGAGCAGGAGGGACCTCTCTGGCTGTGATGCTGCGTAGAGACAGACTCCACCATGCAAATTCCTGTTCTTAAAGTATGTGACCTTCTGGGCTGAGGGGGAGCTGTTTTCTCAGGGCTGGCTTGGAGTGGCCCTTAAAGGGTCCCCAGACTTATGGAAAGGGCTCCCCTTGGGCGGCTGCCGTTAGTGGGGTGGCAGAGGCAGCTGAAGCGGGGAAGGCAGGGGACACCAGGCTACGACTGGGCAGGGCCTGTGATTTGTAATTCTTTTTCCAGTGTCCAAGGAGTTAGTTATCCCAGGGGGCACAAGAAAGGGGTTCGCTGTTGTTATTTATTAAATGTGTGTGCGCCAAATCTTTTTAGTCTCACAGCAGCTTACAACAACGCAGAATGCAATAAAGCGTCCGTAACTAGAAGCAACCAGAAGCTTGAATAATGACACAGCCATAAAAAAACAAACAGAAAAACGAACAAACCAGCAGCAAAAGCAAACTGTAAATGAGCAAAAATCCATCACGGGCAATCCTGCCCTGGTGCCCTCCACAAAAGCTTGGTCTTCACAACCCTCCTAAAGGCTCTTGCTTGAGGAACCAGTCTTGCTTTGCCGGGGTGGGGCTGTTCAGTCCACTGGCTCCCTGAGAGAAAGGCCATGCTTTCCAGCCCCAGCACCACCCACCCACCCACCACATCCCCAAGCAGCAACTTCTCCCAGAGCTGCAGGAAAAGGGTTGGCAGAGCTTTTGAGAACTTGAGGGTCTTGGGAAAAGCCCTGCCCGCCATCCAAGCGGGCGGCCTCGGGCAGCCAACACAAGGCAGTCCACCTGTGATGGAATGGAATTATGAAGGCCAGACTCAGGGAGAGAAGCATCTTCTTTTGTCTCCGGAGGGAGGGGAAGAGATAAGAGGGTGAGGCTGGCACCTCCCTGAGGAATTCACTCGGTGTTTACTGGCTGACCCTGGGAACTAGT